TCGCACGGTTAATTTCCGACGTTGTGGGCTTGGACATTAACCGAGGTTGTCGTCGGAAAAAGTATGACGTTTTCCTCGGCTTCTGGGCATGGACATTAACCGAGGTTGTCGTCGGAAAAAGTATGACGTTTTCCTCTGCTTTTGAGAATCAGAGGAAAAGAAAGGAAAAATCCCAACCCACGTGAAAATCCGAGCCACTCCTCGGATTTATCCTACCACCGGACTAACAGTGCACTGTAAAGCAATATTATCATTTTCTACAGTGGTCTCTACCAAAACTTGTAGATTTAAATGAGCTTTTTCAAAGTGATCGTGCTCTGATCACTGTTGTTTACAAGAAGATGTGCACTTCCTACAAAGATTTGCTGCTCACCTTCATGGACAAAACTTATGTGGAGAGAACACCCCTCGATCTTGTCAACCCTGCAGACAATGGACACCACATCCCACTGCAGAACATTTACCTCGGCGTGAAAGTTATGCGGGGCTTTTCCGAGCTTAGAGCTCGTCCTGATATAGCCGAAATGGAGCGCCAGTTTAGGTAAGTTCGGCCGAGGCAGAAGCATTTTTTTTTAATACTTAATATTCTTTCGAGGAAAAGGAATAAAATGACTGAAAACTGTTGTTTTTATTGCAGACTCCGCTGTAAAGCATTCCTGGTAAAAAGCTGCTGTGAGATGCGCGCCCGCTTTGACTTCAGTGGTCATTCCCCTTTCGCCCGAATGGCTTGTCTCAACCCCAAAGAGGTGCTGAGCAGCAGCAGCACAAGGCTGCCTTCTCTGCTCCCCCTCATCGAAACCGTCCCGCGGATCTGCGACCCAAATGATCTGGACCGTGTCCAGGTTCTCGACGATCAGTGGCGACTCCTCGACAAAAGAGAGTTCGTGGAGGGTATGGAGGACTGGGAGGCGGACGAATTTTGGACAGCCGTGCGTGACCATGAGGACCTTGATGGCAAACAGAGTTTTAAGGTAAAAAATTAAGGTATGCATAATCTGCTCCATCGTTAATGTTAAAAACGCCCGAGTTAAAGTATTTTTACTACATTTCAGGAACTAGGATCATTCGCTTTGGAGGTGCTCTCCCTTCCACATTCTAATGCAGCCTGCGAGAGGTGTTTTTCAAAAATAAACCTTGTCAAAACCAAGATAAGGAACAGGCTGCAGACAGAAACACTCAATGGGCTGCTTCTTGCTTCTCAGTGTGCAAAGGAGGGTGATGGCAGCCAATCATTTGAAGTTACCCCTGAAATGATTGCTTCCATGAATTCCGACAACCTAAAGCCGAGAAAAAAAGTTCAGCCCGCCGCGCAACGCACAGTAAATGAATTAGATGCAGCTTTTGAGGTAGAAGATAATGAGGAAGATATAACTGAAGAAGATTACGCCGTTGTATTTGAGAACTGAATAATGCATTTTAATTTTAAGTTATAGTTCTATACTCTATACTTCTTATATTTTTAGTTTTGTTAAGATAATTTTCTTAAAACAATATTAAGGTGTGTTACTTCACGTACCTAGTCAATCACGACTAGTCTTTGCCAGTGCCATTAAATGAATAATTTTCTCGAATTGTGTTTCTTTTATGTTGGATGGGGCATCGCCCATTTTCAAATCGCGCGCCTCGGGTCTCCTACACGATAGAGACATTAAAAAGGTGGAAATTATGGGTCCTAAAACACAAAGATTAAAAAAGAAATCTATGTTTAATAAAATTAGGCTTCTTTAAACATTTTTTCTGTGAAAACTGGGTTGTACGGTAATTTTTAGGGTTGTACGGCAATTTGACTAGGTTAGTACGACTCTCGCTCCCCTCCCGGGTGGCAACGCTGACCTGTTGCTAGATGTCTCAATGTGACAGATAACCTCTCTGCCGGAGGGATGCTCTCCCTCATACAAGTATTCTGCTTAGTAATAAGAGGAGATACTTTCTCAAGAAGCTCCTCAAAAATATCTACATTCATTCTCAAGCATCTGCAGACAACAAGAAATAAAAAAATTATGTACATGGAGCTAACAGTCAACACATGAAATACACTGAGAGGGACAATTTTGCTCATGCAAATGAGACCCTGCATTCATTATTAAATAATAATTCTCTGTCTCACCTGCGAAATCTATTTGGGTCTTCAAGCATTAGCTCCCTAAACAAATTGTGGTGGAATCCCTTATCCCTCCTCCTTGCTACCCAATGATGCATCCATATTTCTCTATTCGACAGAGACTTATACTGCGCAATTATTAGGAGAAAGAGAGCCAGGCACGCTCGCCGTCTCCGTAAATGCAGTGCCTTCCGTGCCATTGCACGTCGTCTATCCATTTTTCATTCAAATATAACTTCACAACTACTCGCCCTTTCGCCGGGAAAATATCAACACAAGCAGAAGACGCTCTGACGCTGCCTTGTATGAACCCAACCGCAATCGTGTAGTGTGATCGGCCCAACGGCAACGGCAACGTCAATCGCAATCGCCAACGCCAACGGCAACCTCTCGTGTGATACGGCCTTTATCACACCGGCGCGCCTCTCCGCAATCGCTTCGATGCTGCAGTGATATTCCCCCGTCGGGGTCCGTTCACCTGGCTAGCTGAAGGTGATTTAGTGATACGCGTATTAACATTTTAAGATGCGATAGTCACTTGTTACTGGCTAACTGACTTCGTTTCTTGGATTTCTTGGGGGGGGGGGGAAGTGCGAATATGCGGGAGAAAAGGGAAATTGTCGCAAGCGGGCATCTCCGGTCGACCGAGAGGAGTTGCCTACCTCGACGGGGTTCCAACCCGCGTGGAGCCCGCCACCGTCAGCGGAGCTCGGCCAAGTAAATCAGGTACAGGCCCCTAAGGTGCCCCCTCCCTTTCCGCCCCCGTCCACCTGTAATGATCCGGTAGGCTCAGTCTAGTGGTTTAGTGGAATGAGCTGAATACCCTTACCTTACGCTTGAGGTCTCACTACGAAGAGCGCTAGTCGCGTTAGCGAGCCTGGCGGTCCAGGGTACCGCCACGCCCGCCGAGGCGCCTGATAGGTGGGCAACATCTCACCTGGAGTATGCATGGGTGCACTGCGGGCTGGCCTACCCTGACAAGGGAACTCATCTAAGTGTTAGTCCCCGATTTTGTTCCGCCTTGGGGGTTTTGTAGGGTGAACGTATACAAAACGATTGGCAATGAAAATTCGTGCCCAATTTCATATTTAATTTTATAGGGGAAATCCACTTTCTCCAAAAATGACTTAAAAAAACCACTTTTTCTGAAAAATCCAAAAATTATCCACAGCTTGTATGTATTCAGTTTTAAAAAGTCGATTTAAGGCCAAATACAAATACAAGCTCTCGGTCATTTTTGGTTTTTTCAGAAAAAATGCTTTTTTTAGTCATTTCTGGAGAAAATGGATGTCCCCTAAAAATACGAATATGAAATTGGGCACGAATTTTCATTGCTAATCGTTTTGTATACGTTCACCCTACAAAACCCCTAAGGCGGAACAAAATCGGGGACTTACACTTAGATGAGTTCCCTTGTGAGTCTCACAGGCGCCCACAGCTCCCACAACTTGCCGGATGAATTTGAGACAATTCGAGCAAAGTGAAGCAAAGGAGTGAGAGGTGGCTCGCTGTTCCCGAATTCCTGAAATGCTCTCTCTCTCAGTTAGCATCTCTAATGACATCTCAGCACTGTCAGCTTCACATAAGCTGCTAATTAAAGCTGACAATGGCCGCACAACACTTAAAAACTGTTACGGTATTGGGGGGAGAGGCTGGCAGGGGCGCGGCGCGGCGTGGTGAAGCGCGGTGCAGCGCGGTGCGGCGGGGCGGGCAGGGCGCGGCTGCGTGCTGCGTTGCTGCGTGTCCTACGCCGGTCATGGCAGCAACAGGAAGCCGTTATCACACCGGCGCGCCTCTCGGCTATCGCGCTTCGACGCTGCAGTGACATTCCCCCGTCGGGGGGTCCGTCAAGCTCACGGTCCGGCCGGCTAGCTGAATAAGGTGATTTAGTATACGCGTATTTCACATTTTAAGATGCGATAGTCACTTGTTTCTGGCTGACTGACTTCGTTTCTTGGATTTCTTGGGGGGGGGGGGAAGGGCGAATATGCGGGGGTAAAGGGAAATTGTCGCAAGCGGGCATCTCCGGTCGACCGAGAGGAGTTGCCTACCTCGACGGGGTTCCAACCCGCGTGGAGCCCGCCACCGTCAGCGGAGCTCGGCCAAGTAAATCAGGTACAGGCCCCTAAGGTGCCCCCTCCCTTTCCGCCCCCGTCCACCTGTAATGATCCGGTAGGCT